AAGGACAAATTCTTACAAAATTCAAAAGGAAGCTCACAAAATAATTTTGAAATGAGTTCAAATGTGTCCCCATCTTGCAGTCCACTGTTCTATCCGCATTTTGCTGTAAGCGCAAAATTCAAGTCTCGACAAAATCTGCGCTTTCATTTTGTCTAAATGTGCAGCATCTCTTAAGTGTCTAGAGAGAGGAGGTGAGCTAAGGGATCACGCCACTCAAAGGGCTTGTGCCACACTCATTTCACCTTGTCAATTTGTCTGCACATCAATGGATTCCAGCTACATCCACCTTACTTTACCAAAGCTGGCGATTAACCACAGGTTGCACTACGTGTCGCCTTAATTGCCGCCTCCACACAGGTACAGGGACTTATGTCGAAGCGTTTTTTTTTTCAAAAAAATGGTGATTGAATCCAGAATGGGGGTGAATGCCTAAGGCAGGCTTTATAAAATTGGAGCATTCAAGCAGGAGGAGGTTCTTTTAACACAAGTCACGTAAACATGGACCTATTTATCTCTAATTTGCAAATTGTGAAGAAGTAGTAACACACAAGTCAGTGTGCTTTACCCACAAATGCGTTGATAGTAGGTCGCTATCTTGAGCGTTTGGTGTCCCTTCTTATTTGCAAATCAAAAAGTCGGGTTTGACTTCCTCCACAGAGTTGGCGAAAAATTAGCTACTGATGGGCATATCTCAACTTTTTGTGCACAGCTTACAAGACTGAAAGACTTGAAGTGCCATGCAGAGCCCAGCATACAAAAATTGATGCCTGCACCTGTGATAGGTGGAGAAATTCGTAAAATGTACGTAAATGGCCCATAAGTGGAGAAGGTGAAAATTGGAAATGGGCTATGACCAATATGCTACTGTTTCTTAAGAAATATTTCCTTCATTAAACACAATATCGTTTCTTATTTTACTCACCAGGAGCAATGAATGCGGTGGACTCTGGAGATTCCAGTTAACTTTGATTTACTTGTAAAAAGAAATCATCAGTATAAAAAATATTTGACGGAAAGGCGAGCTAAATTAACAAAAATAGTTTACGACTGTCAACTGCAAGCTGCCCTCTGAAAAACCAAACTTTTTAAGGATGGAAAACAAACTTGGGGAAAAATGGACTGCGCCAAATTTATCACTTCAATTTGCATATCGTCAACGTTTTTTGCTGACACTTCGATGGGTGTTAATTAAAACCTTGAAAGAATTTCCTCATCTTTAAAAATTTGGTCAATTTTTTGTTTAAGAAAGGCAAAATATATAAAGAATGTTCAGTTGCAATGATGCATCACATTCAGTGAGGACTCTCCTGGCTCTCCTAGACGAGGTATACGTGTGTGTGCGGTAATCAAACAAGTTTATAAGGGAAGGAGAAGCTTATACACCACATCGGAGCTGAGTGGTTAAAATTTTTACCCATTACCTCAATATTTCCGAGATTTTCTGCAAATTTGTTCGCCTTTTTAATATTTTTATGCGTTTTAGTGCTGTCTCTGTGTGTAGCTTTCCTCGGGTCGCCTCTATGGATGGTTCTCAAAAAATTTTCTTCTATAGGAAAATATATTACGCAGGGCTAGGCGAAGAGTTTGCAGCGCTAAATGAATAAGGAGAGCGTCTACGCTTGCTCCTCTTGGGGAACCATGTCGCGAATAGATTCCGTCTGACCTTCGTGATCCACACTCCTTGTCCAGCGCCATCCCCTGTGCCAACCCTGAGAATTCCCTTTGGGTTAGCTGGTTGTTTTCTTTGGCCAGTGTGTAGGATCTGTTCTCATTTAAGACTGGGTAGAGTTTCTGATTAAGGTCGTAGATCGCTATTGCAGAAAACACAGATTCCTATTTTGCAGGTGAGAGAACCTTTGCCACACGATAGGGATACATTCTCCATGGATGATAAAACTATCAGTTCGTTTCAAATGGCCGATTTAGTCTATAAATTTGGACGGGTTCCCATCGTGATCGACATTGCTTCGGCTTCGTCTGCTGAAATGTCTCCTGTCTGAAATACGCCTTCCGTCGACCGCAGTGTGTAGCCGAGCGAACATTAAATCGCCACTTCACCCTTTCTCCCTTCTTCGTTACTTAGGGGATGCTTCTCTTGCAGACCCCGAAAATTTAGCACATCTCTCCAACAAGTCCATTTTTGAAGCTTCTAGATCTTGATTTCTATGGTTGAAATAGAGCGAACTCGAAGTCGTATATGGCAGTCAAGGTCAAACAAAATAATTGTTTTCCGCCTTTAAAGTGGGGAAGGCGTCCGGTGCTGTCACCGGCTTAGTCTTTATGCCGCTATTTCCACATCTTTCACTTTGGAAGTGCTCTCCATACTATGTAATTTGTGGGGTGCTTTGCAGTACACAGCAAAACAATTGCAGGAATTTTAGTGCTACGAGACCAAACCAAATGTGTAGCCTTGCATCCGACCAAGAATAACATCCTCCTCTTCGAATGCGGCGTTAAAACGAACTCTCGTAAATTGCCGAAGTGGATCCAAACAGCCAATATATGTTGCATTTACTTCTTGCATATTGGCTGTGCAAGTTGGTACACGACATCAAAATTTTTCTCTTTTTAGGCCTTCTACGTTTAAGGTTAAGTGTAAGTTTAAATCACTATGGGAGTTATTTTATTTAAAGAGCATTTTGCCTGTCCTGAGCGGTCTTCAATTCACTGAGGATACTTATTTTAAGTTTGTGAAAATTGTTGTTGCCTTCAAAACTAAAACCGTGTCAAAGTGAAAGTAATGACGGCCCTATTAGTTGCTTCATTCCAAAAACAAGAATCTTTTCCTATTAAATATCAAGGTTTCCGGATATTCTACGTCCTAACCCAAAAGCAATTTCACCATTTCATTTAAAAACGTGTCCTTCTGCAGTCCGCTTAGCCAAAATTTGCACTAAAACACTAGTCTTTTGGGCAGCATCTTCTTTGTTACCCCATTTGGGGCATGTTCGGCCGTATTCTTTCGAGACCAGTGGAACTGCGGTGGTGCTATTTAAAGTATGGAAAAATTGTAGAAATTGTCCATTTTTCGGAGAATATTTTAGTTTATTTTAGCTTAGACTTGCACTGGAAAGGCCAGCTCAAGCGTTAACTGCATTTCGATGGTACGTGCCCACTTTCTCCATCCACAGGTGCCCACAGCTATGCGCTTTCGCCCTGCCACCAGGACATCGAAGCCATTACATGACCTTTTCTAAGGTGTAAATCAAAAAGACTCTGGCAGATTTTGCTAAGATTTGACTTTCATTAGGACTGTGGTCTTTCTGCATGACTTTGGCTCCGATCGCATGCTAAAAGTGGGGTCAGAAAATCCGAGTAGATTTCAGCAGTGAGGGGAAGGGGGACTAGCGAGCCTCCATCACTTGCCTTACCTGATGCAATAGGCTTAATTTAAGCAAATAAATCAACTTAGATTTAGTTAGCACCAACACCTTTGCAGTTCATTAACCCTGCGTATGGATTACATTTCTTAAAAATGGCTGTCAGAACCATTAGCATTTGCCACCATAAGACAAACCGACATTCGAAATTCATCGCAGCTTCTCACACAAAAAGGCATGCGGTTGGTAGCCCTTACTTAAATGTCATTAATTTGTGTTTTGTATTGGAGCACTTTTTAGTCAAGTGTCTTCCATTGACTTTAAAGTCGTGAACTGGAGCTCGTCAGTTAAAGAATACCCAAAAATTTTATCGTGGCGGGGTTAATTAACGTAGATATACAAAAGTGTTAAAAGCAGGTTTTAGTTTCCTTCTATCTTTCTCTCAAAGTAAGGAAAAGTCTATCACAGATTTGCGCCCTGCAACTGCCGCAGTGGACCACGTCAAATGATAATTTCCAAAACCCTCATTGAAAAGTGAATGCACTGCAGTATACAACGCAGTAACCTGGATGACCAAGGGCTCATGTTTTTACTTCTCCACCAACTATGTTAGTCTCTCTTTAAATGGACTCAGTCTCGTCTAATTTATCCTTTTAAGCTTGTGCTATGGAAACACACAAATGCCAAAACGCTCTTAGGGCTTTAGAAGGGCAAATTCCCAGGCGCATTCTTTGGTTCGTACAGCCCATCTGAAAAGTACACAAGCACCATTTCAACTTGATTGCCGCGGGCTGTAATGGTCGGTGGCACACCCACAGGGCATTTGCTACTGTCTCTAAGCATCTTCAATGAAGGTCACTTAGTGAAGCCGCATAATTCAATGAGCTTCCACCCTGAAGGTAAAGGATCGCTTGCCACTTGTTTTTGGAAACTGTTTTAGATGGCATTTTGAGTTGCTGAGTCCTCACTTGTGCCTACTGTAGATTAAAAAAAATACTTATTATAATCCCAGTAGTCTGTTGAAAGCATTTATGAAGGTAAATCAATTTGTTTTGCTACTACTCTCTATTAAAAATTTGAATTACTTGAGATTATATATTACTGAAAAATTAAATAAGCATTTGCACTGATTTCAACTTATGATAGTTTGGACATGATGAATGTAAAATTACAAGGGGATTGCAGAGGAGTTAAGACGATCATACTGGTGAACATCAAGATTTTTAGAAGCTCCAATCGCAGCAATCATGTCTCAATACCTTTTGACAGACGCTTTTTTATCCATATAATGCTTTTTAGACACTCTCAGTTATCTAATGTTGATAAATGTTTGTAGCAAAACTAAGCACGACTGGAGTTAGCCCAAGTCCCCTTTCGTACGGCAATGCGTTTGACATCCGATTGTACCCAATTTCTACACTTAGTAGAAACCTATCCTCGAGGTGTTAATTTTGCAAAAGTCTGCTAACAAGCAAAACGATTATTAAATAGGTTATTAATTTAGGTAATAAGAAAGGCGTACACTAAATGACACATAAATACAATGGTAGAGAGAAGAACGGAGTCGAAGGGGAGCGCAAGGATAGCATTTAAACACCTAACAGACGATGTCCTTAAAAAATCATGCAACACAGACTTTATTCTCGGCTTCCTTTGTGGCAGGTCGAGCCTTGCTGTTGGATGACGTATACAACGCACCGTGACACCCAAGCAACCCTTCACATTCTGGACGAGGCAGACATGGACGTTGCCGAATGCACTGACAATGACCTCTACAAACGATTTGGATTGGAGGAACAGTATGAGGTGAACCAACTGACCACATGGCAACGAATTAAGCCAAAAATTTGGGCTGTTTTTGAAATGCCACGGTCATCGGTGGCTGCAAAGGTAGATGTGCCTAACTCTCTTCATGATTTGATTACTTTAGCGATTGTTAAGCTTGCATTCCTCATCCCCCAACCCTAATGGCAAAGTCATTCCAAACAGCAGCATGTGTTTCTTTGCTATGATGGCAAGGATTACAATACTACTTACAAACAATTAGAAGGTCACTTTTTCTTTATACATTCTCTCTTCCAAGCAACTCTTCTCCCAATTAATGACAACAGCCTAAGTTCATTACGAAACCACCAGAAACATGGATATCATTCAATCGTCTACTCCTCGCTTACGGAATTCTCAGCATCCCATTCTTCCCACTGGACCATAAACTTGACTTTATGGCACACATTATTTGTTGAAAAGCAAATCTTTAAAAAATTCGCGATTTTAACCGAATATTTCATTTTTTAACATACGTGCCCTGATTTCTAAAGTGATAAGAATGAATGGCACGGAGTAAGCTTGTCAAAAATTTTAGCGTTCACATTTCTTGCTTTGAGTGACTGATCTTGCTAAATGCACTGCCTTGTTACAGCATCGCCATTTCATCTACTTTGTGCCCTCCTCCCCGCCCACGCACACAGAATGACATCTACTCTTGATTTCAGCTGATTGTAAAAATTACAAAAATTTAAGCTTTTCTCTTAGAAATTGGGAAGCTCTCCCCTAACTGGAAACAAATGTTTTTTTTCTTATTTTGCCCTCCTAATGCTACCGAATCCAACCAGTTTCGGTCATTATAACTCACTTTTATGTGACAAGGGTGATATTGTTAATTAACGAAAACTATTTTAGGTGCTGTGTGTCCTTTCCACATAACTTTTGCGCTAAACCAAAGAAGAAAAGTTGAAAGTACTTCGATGCCATTAAGGCATTTTAAGGACTAACGAGGAGGTCAACAGATCGGCAAAGAACCACAATCTTAAACAAAATTTATTGTGTACAACCATTCTTGACTTCCTCCCCCATGAGTGACTCAGCTAACCTTGTGGAGGCATTTAACTGTCAAAAGTACTCACCCAAACGTCACTGCTAATCTCGTTGGTAGAGCAGAGGCGTAAATACTTCGGTAGGGATTTTAGTTTTGCCCCAGCACAAGATTGATTGGCAAGTAACGTAAGCAGTTATCTTATATCAGCAGCCTTTGGAGGTTTTATGGCTGGTGGTTGTTTATTTTTTCAAAAGCAAAGTGCTTTGCACAGAAGTGAGTGGAGTGCGAGGGGTAGATTGTACGTCTTACGCTTTAATTTTAAATTTGAAAGTAATAATTAAAATTTAAGGAAAGTGAGGACAATTTATGACTGCTGCAAGAGTGCGTGTATGAGCTTGGATCTCGTCAATCACTGAAGTAGCATTCTCCGCTCCTCCTCCATAGACACTGGATGCCGTCTTTGCAGTCTCTTTCACGGTCGCCTCAACGCCATGCATCTTCAACATTTAGCTACAAATTTTTAGTCTACCATAATTAGGTAGGAATTTTCTGAACTATGAACCACCAAACTTACTCAGACATGAGGACATTAAAATCTTAATTAATATTTTACACGATATTTTTTATAATTCTGCTAAAGTAATTATACTGGCAACACAGTTGATTAAGGCGATGGGCTTTGTTCCATTGCCAACGTGCAACTTTCCATTGAGACGTTTGTTCTAGGCACTTTCAAGCGTAGACGGGGCGCAGTTCGATGCACCTACACTAAATTGCCAACAAATTAGGGATGAAAGGACTTCCATTACAAGCTCGTCTTCTTTGACACACATTGGAATGGGAATTAAAATCGGAGTCTTTTAGTAAATGTTCCACGTTCAGCATTGGATGTCTCCTTTTATTGAGAGGGGCGAATTCCAAAGGACTGTCTCCAACGCCTCTATCGGTCGTGTCATTGTAAAATAAGGAGGTTAGTTTTGACAGTCAAATCTATGGCAGAAAGTTGAAGTGACGCTGCAGTGCCGCAAAAACACTTGTTGTGGTGTCTACAATTCCTCCTTTCCTCTTCTCCTCTAATGAGCCTCATAGGAGGAGGATTTGAAACTTGAGCAGCTACATTTGACATTCGTTCCGCAGTGACAAAGAGGGAGAACATTTGTTTTTTAAAGCTCCACGAATTAATTAATTAATTTTCTCAGTCCAAAGCCTAAGAGGCGTAGTTAAACACCAAATACGAATTTCCGTTACCAACGGGTCATAAAAATGGAAGACAAATACTTTTTTTCTTGAAAAGCATTATTTTTAGTGTGACTCTTGGCCTATTTTCATATTAATTAAGCTTTTTGTCAATTTTAATATCTCCAACTGGCAAGGTATGATTGCAAGTAATGAGATGCGAATTTCGCTTCAAAACGCCCAAATTATTTAGACAATTGCTTCACTAACCGGCTGAATTAGCATCGAAAACTTCAGATTTTTCTAAGTTTAATAAGATCAATTTGGAACTTCAGTGGTTTTGAGGTAAGGAGATAGTGTAGGAGCATTCAAAGTGCCCCCAACGCTCGTCACTCAAAAGGCTGTCACTCGGGACGCCGCACGCTTCAGTCTTGTAAGGCGAATGAGTCTTATAGTAAAGCCGACCTAGTGAAAACTGCAATCTTTCCACATTGTGGCGGTCGAATCTACTTTACAAACAAAAAATTTTTTGCCTGAACCAACTCACTCCGCTCAATCGTGCGTTTCGCTTAGCTCATCGAGAATAACGTTTATTTATGCAGCGCTGCGGCCTCGGTCCTCTCTGTAAAATAGTTTCTACAATAATATTAGTTTGGTTAAGCTTTGAGTCGACTTTCACCGCATGCTCCACTTTATTTTCACAGCTAGCGGAGTCAATAGAAAAAACACGTGCATGTGGCTCTTCTTTCCCACCACACGATCGCATCTTGGCCAACACAGCTTCTCGTGGATGAGGTGAAGTCCAACTGTCAAATCATGTATTTTACAGGGAGGTGGCCAAAAAAACACGCAAAAGTGGTTGGTGCGCTTAAAACAGAGCAAATCTGAGGCACTGGACTTACTGTTAAGGAGTGGGATGATGTTTCTGTCAAATGACAACTGAAACCGAAGACCTTTCGACTCCACAGTGCCTTCACTTGATGATGATTTTGTATTGCTTAATTTTACCCATATTAGGGATTTACCCTCGTAAATATTAAATCGAGTCAAATACTTTTAAGTTTTATTGTGAATAAGCGTTTTTTCGCTTTATCCGTTTGAAAGAGTAATGCAAGGAAGTCGCCCATATTTGATTTTGGAAGCAAATCGACGAACTGCAAACCTAAGCCTCTCCTCGGCGGTTAAGACGTCTTTTGACATGAACTTTTTTGTTCAACTAATCAATTTAGCAGCATTTAAAACCTACTGAGGAAGTGCCACGTTACTCTTGGCATTTTTTTAAAATAAGCAGTGCCAAACCTCCTTTGCTATTGCAGTCAAAATCTCATCTGAACTGGTTTATGGAAATAAACAACACAGAGGCATAACTTTGCGTCTTCCTAACTACGTGATATGAAAAAATATCGGCGTCTTGACCTTGCAAACGCTATGGATGCAGAAGTGCCTTTCATTAAGGCGTCCCTGGGCTGTGACAGCTTATGAATCTGCACCTTTGAAGAGTTGCGCAATTTTTCGAATCACTACCACCTCATGAAGTGATTTCTAGGCAGACGGATTAATTTGGGGACCAATTTTATGCCATTTGTCGAAATTTCATCATCCGAGATGAAAAATCATTAAAATGATGATTCCATTCTTCTTACCCTATGTTTGAATTGCAATTGGATTTTGGGTTTGGCTGAATTTTATTCTCGACAACTAGCGATTCTCTGCGTGGAGTACACGGATTTAATAAACGGACGTCAAATTTCTTCACAACTTGAGACAGGCTACCAGCCATCGGGAAAAGCTTCACATCCACCAAAAGTAGTTTCTACACAGGTTATTTTTTACAACATTACTGGTCGGTCTGTCCATGATGGTCGTGACGATTAGA